CAAATGTGCCTAAATTCTACGGCGCATCAACACCCCCAATTTAAACTCTTGCTTGTCCTCAAGCAACTAGAACAAATATTATCCTTTTCTAAACTCTTACCGACACTTCACGAACAGTAATGACCGTAGATGGTATTGACTGTTAGTTAACAAGCATGTAACTTCATTTATTGACCCTTCATGGAAGACAAATATCACTTAACAATGCGACCAATCAACTTGTAAACTTTGAGCCTTAACCAAACTGACAAAATATTACTCACAGCTAAGTGCACTCGTATTCTACTTCAAGAACTTAACTTCTGTTAAATCTTGTAGTTCATGCGCGCTCATAACAAAGAAAATCCCCAACTCACACATATTTACAGGGGATGCAATCGAACACTCTTTCACTCGGAACGAAACCTATATGTTACAAGTATCAGTCCATATGCTTGCCCTTATTTAAACTTGTTCCTATCTCAGGAATGATTGGTTGAAGATCACCTGGGACTTTTCACAGGTTGTAATGTAGGTTTCGGGAGGAGTTGGATGAATATCTGGGAACGTAGTGGCTATACCCTCCTTGAACTCTACATATACTTTGCTTCTTTACTACATAGCATTGATCGACCTCGAGTTACCGACAATGAATCACCTCAAAGTGTTTATTCAATTTCTACAAGACTCCACTTTTTTTTTTAATTTTATATAACAGCATTTCTTTTCGGAGCTTGAGTTTCTTCATATATATACAACTTTGAGGAACCATATTTGTTTCTTCTACATATAGTGTTAACCTTTCTAATCTCCACTTTGTACCGGCACCCCCAACTTAGGCTTTTAGCCTCATTCTTACTCGTTCAAGGAGGGTTAGGTTCAAAAGAAGGAATTATTTCACAATGGGGTAAAGGTTTGTAATGTGGTAGACAAAGAAATGGTTAAAAGCTCAACGGGGGTAACTAGGGTAATTTATGTACTGGGGAGGTCAATTTGTTTTGTCAAAATTAGCTAGCAGTCACAAAGATAGCCTAAGATCATCTCATCACCCAACCATTAGCCTAAGATTTGCACAAAGAAACCAACCGGGCAAGTTCTAGACATCACAAGTTAAGCATGCACATTATTTACACAAATCCTCACTCACTCACGAAGCATGAACTGTTCGACTCAACATAGTTTCAGCCCTCAAATGAATGCAAGGCAACTCACAGCTTTTATCACATGATATATAAGATTCTGAGTAAACATAAAGTCAAAGAGCGAGCCTCAAGTTCACCAGAATGACTAACCATACAAAGTCAAAGAAGGAAGGGTACAATTTATTCACCAAATATTTCCTCACATGCTTGAAACTAGATAATCACACCAAACAAGTCAAAATGTTCCATGCTACTTCCATGGTTCTACTATTACACCCTTGTAAAAGAACCTGGCAAAGAAAAACCAAGGGGAATTTTTACTACTAGCTACCAGTCTATACTATTAAAGAAAAGGGATTTAATGAAGAGGGATTTATGAAAAGGGATTTCAGACAACTATTTACAAAAAATATATACCCCACCCCAACATGAAGAGCATGCATTGTCCCCAATGCAGAAAAATTAAAAAGCAAAGTTTAGGGGCTTCCTCGGGCGCACTAGGCGCTCGGAGGGTCTGGAGCATGCTGGGCAACTGTGGGATCAACTCCAGACTCTGTAGCTCTAGCAAGCAGAACCTCAGAATGTGTGGTAGTGGTCTCTGAGGCTGGAGCAGGAAGCTCCACCTGTTGTGTGGCTGAAACAGGAGTTTGGGAGCTGCTGGACTCTCCCAGTGATGCCTGTGGGGTAGCTGGATGTGCCCTGGCGACCATGTCAGCGAGTGAATGTGCAATTGCTTTTTGCACGTCTGCTTCCTCTGCAACCCGAGTCTTTGTAGAAGCATCCTCTGTAGAAGCAGCCACCTGCTTACCCTTATAGTCTCACTGACTCTCAGGTTCCTCTGCCAATGCTTCCTCATCAGTTTCCTCATCTTCGGTCGCTCCTTCATCAGATTCTCCTTCCGACTCTCTGGAATCCTCCTCTGAATGAGTGTCAATGTGGACAATGGTAGCTGGAGTCTTTGAAGTCTCCACACCCTGTGTCTCTGGGTCTGTCATGAGGTTGGAGAAGTCCAAATTTAGGCCCGAAATGGAGGTGTTTGTACCCTGCTCACCGCCCTATGGAAGGAGAGAAGTCAAATCGAATTCTAAGTTCTGCAGTTTGTGCAGCTCTATTTTCAGTTTAGTAACATCTTTCTTAAGTTGTGGCATATCTCCATCCTCACCTCGCTCGACCTCTTCAAGTCGCACTTCAAAGTGCGTAAGGCGATCCTCATATGATTTATGCTGTTGTTGAAGCGTACTCATTGATGCTTGGATGGGACCCAATGCTTGCTTGATGAGTTTTGGTAGTTCCTTTGTCTGCCGGTCTACCTTGGCACTGGCATGCTGGGCTAGTAGACCCAGCTTTGCGATAGCTGGCAAGGAAAAAAGTGGTTGTGCACTGCTTGGCTGAGGCTGAGGAGTGGCTGAGTAATCAGCGGGAGCAGGAGGAGCAACATGAGTGTCAGACATTGATGGGAGAGCAGGTGCAGGTGCTGATGAGTCTGATGCATGAGGGAATGAGGTCTCGAGTTGGATGTCTGTCTCCTTGTCTACTGCATCACTTACCCAACTGATGTCAATGCACTAGAGAGCCTTCTCCAAACGATCATGCTTTGGGACATGTGGAATGCTTATAGCTTTGCAAAGAGCCATGATCAAACATGGGAAAGGAAGAGAGGTTTGCTTTTGGTTTGCCCTGATTCCCAGCTCCTTGAAGATAATGTGTCCCACATCAATCTTGATGTCCGACATGATGCATGCTATTATAAGGACCTTTTCAATGTTGATGTCTGTCTCATTCCTAGTCGGCATCAGATGGGAGCAAACAAAGCTGAGCCAATATCGGGTCTCCTGGGTGAAATCCCGTTTGTAAATCTTGTGGCGCGGGTCAATCCAGGAGGGGGTTCCCTTTGCTATGACATATGCTATCCAAGCTCGCTCGTTATCTTTGTTGGTTACTTTTGCATCATATTCAGCTGTGCCTGATGACTAGTCCTTAAAGAATAGATCATTGACTGTGCCTGCGTCATAGAGAACCTGAACCCCTCGAACCAGAACTGAGTCCAAAAATATCCTATTCTGCTTTTGCTCAGGATTTATTGAGGCAGCATAGGAAGCATAGAACTCCCTCACAAGTGTTGCATTGTAATCATCTAGGGCATCCGTAAAGAATCCCCATTTCCTCTTTTGAATGTTTTCAATTATGTGAGGGTAGTTCTCTTTCAGTCCATTCAGGCTTAACTTCTTCTCCTCGAGAATATTTCTCTTTTTTATCCCCTCTATGTATAGGTTCCATGAGCGTGGGATCCCAAACCTCAAATCTTCTCCACTCTTCCGCCTTGCTTTAGCTTGTAGGTCAACTAATGGAAGGATGTCCGTTTGTGCCCCCTCCTCTTCAGACTAGGAGGAGTGCTGAGAAGTGTTGCAGGTGGTTTCCGGCCGTTGACGTTTAGACTGTTGTGCTTGTTGGTTCGGAGCAGCTTTTTTCTTTCCACGAGCAAGTGGTGATCGTATTGCAATAGATTTCCTTGGTGCCATTTCTGCAATAAAACAATGTGTGAGTAATGGGCATAACATAAAAATTATGTGGAGGAAAAATAATAGAGGTAAACAATTTATGCGATGGGTTATGTGGTCGTATACCCACAATGCGGACCGCACACGTATCGCAGAATTTCACACCCCAGACTTAAGGTAATATGAGATCGCAAAAACCACTGCAAAACTAGCTTTACGACCGCAAAGGGATCGCAGAATTGCACACATGAAAGGTAGTTTAACTGATTGTATTTGCGGTAGCTATGCGGTACGCAAAACACCTTTGCGATCGCATAAGTGGTCGCATAAATTCAAATTACTAGGCCTTCTAGGATCTTGTTTGCGACGACTTTGTGGATCGCAACCCAATTATGCGGGCCGCAAAGATTATCTTCTTCGGTCAACAATGGTCAAGCCTCCCACCTACACAATTCCCTACACTCGCAGGCAAGAGTTTAACCACCAATCGCCCACACAGGTACCCAACGCACATGTTTGAGAACAAAAATGAGATATGGAGTTCAAATGATGGACATTATGCAATGAATCCACAAGAAAAAGAAAAAAAAATAAAAGAGTCACACACCAGATATCGGAGCAAGACGAAGGTGAAATCTGAGTTCTGAGCGAGGTAAATACCTTAATTCTGATCCTTGATATGTGGTCTGTGTGTGTGATTAAAATGTTTTAGGCTTTTCTTTTGTTTCTTTTGTTTTTGTGTTTTTGATTTTGTGAGAGTTTTTAAGTGTTCATGTGCGAGTGCGGTTGACAGTATGCGAAGGGTTAGGGATTTATACCTGGACGTTTTGCGGCGGGCAAGTGGTCGCATAACACATTATGCGGTCGCATATGTGTTATGCGATTATTTTAGTGTTGAGTTATTTTACCTCCATTCTGCGATGCATTCTACGAGTGCATAATTGCTATGCGGACCGCAGAACTTGAACTTTTACCGCAGTTTTTAGACCCAAGTTCCCCAAATTCTCTTACCGTGTTTGCGACAACTATGCGGTTCGCAAAGTCATTATACGACCGCATAGTTGCCGAAAACCCCTGATCCACAATTTTTGCTTTAGTCCTTGCACTCTGTTTCATGGTATATTGGGCTACCTGCACTCTAATACACATGTCAACCTGTTCAATCACTGACAACTAAAAATAAAATAAAATAACTTTACTACACATGGGTTCCCTCCCAAGAAGCGCTTGATTTAACGTCGCGGCACTACGATGTTGGTCCCTTTTTCGGCTACTCAGTGGTGGGGGTTGGACTATCCTTGAGAGCAATTTGCTCTACCAAGTGCTTGTCTTCTATTGTGCCCAGGTAATGCTTAACCCGTTGGCCATTTACTTTGAAAGTTCAAAGTCCATCCTCCGACACTAATTCAATATCACCGTAAGGGGACACATTCACAGTTTTGAATGGGCCAGACCATTTGGATTTGAGTTTGCCCGAAAATAACTTGAGTCTCGAGTTGAAGAGCAAGACCAAGTCACCAGATTTGAATTCTCGCTTCAAGATCTTCTTGTCATAAACAAACTTCATTTGTTCCTTATACATGGTTGCACTCTCATAGGCATGGAGACGGAATTCTTCCATTTCGTTGAGTTGTGTCACTCTCAGAATAGCAGCTTCAGCCCAGCCAAGATTCAACCTTTTTAGAGCCCACATGGCTTTGTGTTCAAAGCTCCACGGGCAAATTACACACCTTATCAAAGAATAACCGGTACGGTGAGGTGCCAATGGGAGTCTTAAATGCACTGCGATATGCCCATAACGCATCATCTAGCTTCCTTGACCAGTCGGTCTTGTTTGCATTGACAGTTTTTGCTAGGATATTTTTAATCTCCCTCTTGGAAACTTCAACTTGACCACTCGACCGAGGATGATAAGGTGTGGCCACCTTGTTCTTTACACCATACTTGTCGAGCAGCCCGGCGAAAGGCTTGTTGCAGAAATGAGAACCACCATCACTAAGGATGGCTCGGTGATGTTTGGCATATTTCGATATGTGTTGATGTTACTTTACCCATGTTTTAACCGCTTCT